GTAAAAGCTAGTGTATAAATATTTGTGCTTCAATTACCTCGTGATTAGCTGACCAGATTTTAATGCTATTTTCAGAAAAGTGTTTGTTATATCTAGGAGAAGGTTTTAATATATTAATTAACCGGCTTCGAAATAATAAGAGAGGGTTAAAGGAGGTTTTTTTAAACGTTGTTTATAAATTGTTCGTTCTATGTAATGGGCTGTAAGCGAGTTATTTGCTAGTAAAATGTTGATACTGGGCACCATTCAATATCTATTAATGAGTCTACTGGTTTTTATTGCCTATTCCTGATTCTAAAATCAAACAACTGAAATTGAGTGATCGAGTGAAAAATATTGTTATTAGAGAAGGTTGTGGATTGAAAGATGATGTTGTGACAAGGATTGAAAAGGGAATGTTACGCTGGTTTGGACATGTAGTAAGGATGGATGAAAGTAGAGTAACGAAAGAAGTATACAGAGCGGATATGAATGGGGCCGTCGCTAGAGGGCGCCCTAGACGGACATATAGAGACCAGATTGGCGATATATTAAAGAAGGGCCAAATTAAAAGTACCCTAAACCGACGAGCATGCACGATAAGATTGATGACTGTTGATGAAGCGAAAGAGGTATATAGGAATCGTAGTAAATTAGCGTTCCATAGTCTCTGCCTACCCCCATGGGAGACAGGCGTGAAGTTATGTATGTGTGTATGTAACAATACTTTGTCGTATTTGAAAATCGAACACGAAGTCTTCAGGAGCTCAGAGTGCCAAGCACGAATAACTATCGCATTCGTAACGTAATAGTATCGAGCGCGTTCGACGCTCAGGGGGCTTACTCTTGAATCCAATTCCGATCAATCGACATTGACATTGTTAAATTTCGTACTCTTGAGTTGCAACACTAAAGCCCATTGCATCCGTATTGCGTGGATATTTTATGAACTAAACGGTATTGAGTTTGGTTTTATATTCCGTACTTTGAATGCTATTTTAACAGCTACGATTGGGGTTGATAAGTTTTGACATTGAATAATTATTGAGATTTTATTGGATTGATATTGCATTGACATTGAGATTGGTTACAAGAGTAAGCACCCTGATTGGCCGGCTCAAGTGAACTAACCAATCAGAACGTTTAACTCGCTCGATACTGTTACGATACGAATGCGATAGTTATACGTGCTTGGCCCTTAGAAGTCCCACTTAAATTCACATCTCCATCTTCCAGTCCAGGTAAAAAGGTCCTTGCCAAAAGGAGAAATTCTGAGCATAGAAATAAATTTAATAAAATAAATTAATAAAAAAATCAAAACCAATAAAAACGTGCAATACGGCTATTGTTTTAATTAAATCTAAACATTAAACTGCAATGTTTGCCTTCACACATACACCTGCGTTGCTATACATACACACCCATATACAGCACACACATTATGTAAATAAACACTATATGGTACGGTTAGATAACTTTAATGTACATATACACGTAACAGCTGATTACGTGTCGTGATCGTGACATCTAACCAATCTCGTTCGTCCACGATACTTCAAAGGCCACTCTAACTACATAATATGTTATGTGGGCGAAGTCGCCGAAATGTATGCGTATAAATCTACAGTTAGATGTTTTTGTAGAGATTCATTGTCGATGCGTATTTTTAGAATGCGGATTGCTGTTTATTTCAGTTTGTCTAATATTAATTATTGTTATGAACATGGCAGTTCGGTTTTCTTTCTTCTTCTTCTTTCTTTTAATGTAATATTTGCCCTAGTATTACGAACAGTCCCGAGCGTACGGCGCGTCGCATTCCGCGCGCGCCTCAATGAGCCATCAGACCACCGCGGACGGGGCCCAATAGGGCTGATGCCGATTCGGAGTCGCGACGAACCTATCCGGTTACCGGGGCTCCGGCTCGGAAGTGCAGGAGAAGGAACGGGGTGGTTTTTAGTCAGCAAGAGTCTGACACTCCCTTCCGCCTCACCCAAGTGTGAGAAGCCATGCGATGATTTTCCCCCTTTAAAAAAAAGTATTACGAACAGAACAAAAAATGTATAGCTGCAAGTCTGTCTTAAAGTGAAACATTTACAACTACCGAACGAACGACGGGGATTATCCCGTCTTTTCTAGTAAATTAGGAGGTATTCCCTGACTTTCTATTTCATCTATTTATATCGAATTTTAGTTGTACCGATTTTGGATGTGATCCATAGTAATTACTAGTTCACGATACTATCTAAATCAATAAAGCATTAACAAGATTTCATTAGTTCAGTAAGAAAGTTTTGACTGCACGGTTGGTGCGGTGGCTGGGCAACCGGCCGCCGTGCAAAGTGTCGCTCGATTCTCGCACGGAACAACACTTTGTGTGATCTACAAATTGTTGTTTCGGGTCTGGGTGTCATTGTGTATGTGAACTTGTATGTTTGTAAACGCACCCACGACACAAGAGAAAATATTAAAGTGGGGCAACGTTTAAAAAAAAAAGTCCCAGATGTTTTAAAGTCTTCAACGCCTGGCATTGGGTTAAAGTTTACTAAACCAGACTGAACGGTGTCTGGCTGTCCGCCAAGAATTCTGCTTGTACGATAACAGCAGTGGTGTGATAGTCTACCCATGTTTATTTTGATCCTGTCTAATGATTCGTCTTCTTATTATTTGTTTTCGAGAATGAATAAAAACTTCAAATCAAGTGCAAAACTGGATTAACATTCTCATCTTTTATCCCGAGTTTCTTTAAGGTCTTATGTAACCTATTTATTCTTTTCCCATTATCTAATATCATGTAACATCATATGTATGTATATTAAAATTAATAACATAACATTACGCCTTTTATCCCCGTAGGAGTTTTTTTTTTTTTTTTTTTAAGGGGGGAAAATCATCGAATGACTGCCCCCGCCTGGGTGAGGCGGGAGGGAGTGTCAGACTCTTACTGACTAAAAACCACCCCGTTCCTTCTCCTGCACGTCGAGCCGGAGCCCCGGTTACCCGTTAGGTTCTCCGCGACTCCCCGTAGGAGTAGGCATAGGTGAACGCTACGGGCACTTAATGCCACTATACAATGAAACACCCACATTTCACTATTTACGTTATAAGTCCCATGTAATAGGGAGTGAGCCTATTGCCATATACCGGGCACAATACCAGACTCAGAGCTCCTACTGAGAATTTAAAAACCCAGTAATATTTTGCGCGACCCGGTATTCGAACCCGAGTACTCGCGACCGCTCGGCTAATGAGGCAGTCCGAGATTAAAATTAATATAATACATATTTCTATTTATACTTAAGCAAATGATTAACACTACAAATAAAATGGTACAATGTTAATACCTACCTAACCATAATACCCCCTTATTCTAAAACAGTTGTGCAAAGTGGTGTTTTGTGTTCATAAATACGTAGTTACTTAATACGTCACGCTTTGTTTAGTACCTATGTTTGATTCCAGATTAATACATACTTTGTGTGGACATGACGTGGTTCTTGCTTAGAGAATATTCTGTAGAAATATACCGTGGCTAAACAAATTCCTTTCGCTTTGATGCATTATTTTATTTATTTAGTTAAGCATGGTTCTTAGTTCCGCTGCCATTTTAATACATCCTTATATACATAACATAACATCACGACTTTTATCCCCGAAGGGGTAGGCAGAGGTGCACATTATGCCACTGTACAATGTAACACTCACTTTCCACTATTTATGTTATGAGTCCCATGTAAACATCCTTAAATACTGTGATGCTAACGCGTATACTGCCTCCTTGATTATTCTATTCCCAGGTCAGGCCTTTATTGGGATTATTTCATAATTTCTCAGTAATAGGTTGAATGGTCTAAAGCAGAGGTTCTCAACGTTGTCTGGACTGCGACCTATCGAAATCAAGTTCCCAAACTTAGGGCCCGCCTTTAGGATATTAAATCGTTACAAACATGAGAAATAAAATAGAGAACAGCTAGTTAGTGCGTCATTCTAGACTTTTTTTTAATTTTATTATTTTTAGCCATGTACGTCCCATTGCAGGGCAAAGGCCTCCCTACCCTCCTTCCAATGTCGCGGAGAACCTAACAGGTTACCGGGGCTCCGGCTCGATGTGCAGAAGAAGGAACGGGGTGGTTCTTAGTCAGTAACAGTCTGACACTCCCTCCCGCCTCATTCATTTGATGAATTTCCCTCATAAAAAAGCCTCCTTCCACTTGTCTCTTCTTAAAGCTCTCTGTTGCCAATCCTTTTCATAGGCGTCAAGCTCATCCCGCCATCTTCTTCTAGACCTACTGCGACGTCTATTGACGTTAAGTGGGCTCCATTCCGTAGTGAGTTTTGCCCACCGCTCGTCTGACATGCTACAGACAAGGTGCACTAAAAATTTGCTAGCGACGTTGTGGTCCCTAAGCTTGCGATCCACCAATGGGTCCCAACCTATAGTTTGGGAAACCCTGGTCTAGAACTATGCTAAGTGTATGGCTATAGAGTATTCACTATTACACGGGACATGTAACATGATTAATGAAAAGTTGGTGTTACATTTTACATATACACCTGTTCTTGTCTTCTGATTTACTTCTTTACGGGAACCAAGACATTTATCCATGTCCCTGGGACGCGCCGGACTTCAGTGTTCCGGTGTTTTCATGGTTGTATTTACTGTAGATCCTAGCTAAAAAAGTTGGAGGTTGTGGGCTGTGGTGGGCTTGTCCCGTTAAAACAAATATGCATTTGTTCCTGTGAGTGTAAAGATGTAGGTACCTAATATTATGTATTATGTTTCACTTACAAATTACAATATTGATGTAAAAATAAGAAAATATAGATTAATTTAAATTAGGTATCTATAAATTGTTTACTGATTTTAGAATTTGTATCAATTTGATAATAGTTTCTTTTATCGCTACGCTATTTTGATTGTATGATGAATGAATGAGTAATTTGCTGCAGTTTATCAATTAATTTTCGAAATCTTATTAGTATTTTCGAGTATTTTCGTGAACATACATAATTTTGATGTATAGATAGAGAACCTCCTCGTTTTTGCTCAGGACGGCCTTTGTATGGATCTGAATAAGGAGATAGGTACGACTGATGCGTGATAGTCCGATATTTTCCTCATTTTATGTAAAATGGGATCCCCCACTATGAAAATTTCAACCAACTGAACCTTTACCTTTTGTATTCACTCATTCGACTCTAGACTCTTAATGCCATTTGTTTATGGGAACTGATAATGCTAAAATCAAAAAAAAAGATTCCTGCTGGCGCATGGCGGTTGAAATCTATACAGCAAGTTATCGATCTGTCCTTGTTAAACCCGTCGAGCGTCCGCGTTCCTTATGATCCAACGGGTGCACACGTGACATTTGGAGAAAAAAAATAAAGAAATGCATTTATTTGGCCATTGGCACACGAAAACAAGGATCATTACAATAGAAATAAAACAAATACAGTCAAAATAAAAACAAAACATTAATAATAGATTTTATAAAAGAGAAAGCAGCATGGAGCATTTTTTCTTATGATCCACCGGGTGCTCATAAGGACGCTTGAGGAGTTAACAGATTTTCAACCTTAATCACCCTGCAATATACGTGTAAATCTACCAAAATGCTTTGTCAGCCTAAACAAACCATTTCAAATAAGGTTTTTTTTCTCAGGTGCTCGCGAGACACTCTGGTTTGGTCTTGATGCTCATACGGGAGGCATTATATACGAGTGTGGCTCTGGAGGATGTAGTACTGAACAGCAGACAGCGTACGCTGGTCGTGACGTCATCGTGCTGAGGAGGCATTCCAACACAGTCAGGGCCTTGGACCCGAGGACTGGGAGTGAGAAGTAAGTATGATTTCATGGTTTTTATTACTTATGGACTTTTTTACCACCATTAAAGTTTCGGGTTCGATTCCCGGGTCGGGCAAAGTAGTACAGGGTTATTAAAAAAAAATCTCAGTAGTAGCACGGAGTCTGGAATTGTGCCTGGTATATGGCAATAGGCTCACTCCCTATTACATGGGACTCATAACATAAATAGTGAAAAGTGGGTGTTACATTCTACAGGGACATAATGTGCACCTCTGCCTACCCCTTCGGGCTTAAAAGGCGCGATGTTATGTTATGTTATGTTAAACTATCTCTTAACTACGAGTTACTAAACGTGAGGGAAAACCTAAGTTAACTCCTTACCTTTAGGTGTCACTTATCTATAGGTTGCTGAAAACCAAAATGGCTTAGGGGGTGAAAATGGGCATTACTGTTTATATTTCATTCCAGTTAGTTTAATTTGCGGTAGGTATACTATACATCAGCCTACAGCAAACTATTTCAAGCAATTTATTAATACAAAGATCTATTTAAAAAAATATAGAGTGGTTGATTGACGATGATTTCGCTCCCCAAAGTGATTTATGATATGACATTATTTGACCACTACACGTTTGCCCATTATCTCGCCTGGTGGTAAGCGATGATGCGGCCTACGATGGAGCACGTCGTCCCATAAGCAACCTATTCACTCGGGCCTTGAAGACTTCCAGAATTTATTCTGCCAATTTTTATTCTACTAATTTCTGCCAGCGACTTCGCGCATTCTAGCCTATGTATTACTCCAGATCAGGGCTTGTCCAAACAAAGGCCCGTGGGTCGCATGCGGCCCGCGGCTTGTTTTCATGTAGCCCGCAATACACATTTTAATCTCAACATCTGCATCTTATGTGTAACAACAATAATACAATTCAGTGTATGGTGAAAGAAAGAAAGAAAATGCATTTATTTGGCCATTGGCACACGAAAACAAGGATCATTAAAATAGAAATAAAAAATACAGTCAAAATAAAAACAAAACATTAATAATAGAGAGAAAAGAAATGGTTGTAAAAGAGAAAAGTTTTGTATGAGAGTAAAGAATATAATGTTAAACGTCATTATACATCTGAAAATATATTTTTGGCCCTCCACTAGCCCTAAGAAATTTAATTAGCCCGTGAGGGTATATAGTTTGGACAGCCCTGCTCTAGATCATAATCTCTGTTCTAAATTTCATCCCGGTCCCTTTAGTCGTTTTGACGTGATACTGAGTATCAAAGAAACTCACATATTTTCGCACTTATAATACCGCTTTACAGGATTTACACTTGTACAGTTTTATTATATGTATAGATATCGTGTTTTTCAGATGGAACTTCAGTGTAGCAGAGCACCGCGTGGCACTGAGTCGCCGCGAGTGCGCCGGGCCCCCGCCGGGGTCGCTGCCCGTCACGGTTGCCGTCGCCCTGCCCGAGGGAGTCGTGGCCGTCAAAGATACCTCCGGGACCAGGATCTCTTGGCAGCAGAAGGTGAGGAGACACAGATTTAATAAAACATGCAATTTTAAACATTTGGCTAGTTGTGTTGTGTTGTCTTTGTCTTGCTTTTTTGCCCGCAATGAACTCGAAAATTATTACTACTTGATACTTTATTATTATACGAAAATCTCTTTATTTGCTTGTTCAATCAAAAGTACTGAGAGATCAATATAGTTTAAATTAGATCATTGATTTACGGCAGGGCTGTCCAAATTATGTACATATATAGCCTCTTGAGCTAATCAAAGGGCATTGACTAAAATTGGTGCCTCTCTTTTTTCTGGCGGCAATCGATAATTTATTGAAAATATTATCTAGAATGACATTACAAACGAAATTGGGTAGTTTCCAGGGTATTAAAATTAAAAATCTACTTAGTCCGTCAGTTATATAACGAAAAAATATTAGACGTGTATTTTTTATTTTCTCGTATTAAGTTGCAATACTTAGATAAAATGGCGCTAAGTTTAGGAGTGGGAGGTCGTTACGTCATAACGTGCTACAAAAGGTAGCACGCTGTGACGTCACACGATATTTCAAATTAATATATCGTCGAAAGTATTAATTATGTGAGAAAAGAAAAAATACGTGTCTATAGTTTGAAATAAATGTACCAGACGGACATTAAAATAAAATTTAGGAAACTACCCTATTATTCTGTACAGTTGGACGCCCCCGTAGCGGGTATGTGGCGCCTCCACGCGGGCACGCTGCAGAGCATCGACGTACTGTGGGAGGCCACGCACACACTCATCGAGGGGGGGGTCACACACCAACCTTCGCTGTACATTGGGGTGCATGACACACAGGTAACTTTGTACTTGTATTTTACAATGTTCTTTTTTATTTTACTTGGGGATGTTCTAAAACTGCGACCAACTGCCACGCCAATTCCCATAGATCCTATAGATATATATATTGATGCAGAGCCATAGATAGGTCTTGATAGTACTGATACCGATACGCAACCGCGGAGAACGTAAAAGGATACCGGGGCTCCGGCTCGAAGTGCAGGAGTAGGAACAGGGTGGTTTTTACTGAGTGATAGTCTGACACTCCCTCCTGCTTCATCCAGGCGGGAGAAGTCATTTGATGAACTTCCTCTTGACTTATTAGTAGACAGTTTCTGCTAATTTCAATTTTTGCACTATGGGCCTTCTGCTCCTCTATAAAAGTTCCATCCAAACATTCCTCGCAAAATGTTTTCGACAAAATTCCAACCTATGGGAGCCACTAGAAAAATCTTAACTAGAATAGAATAGAAAAATTCTTTATTGTACACCATATAAAAAAAATACATTGCTTCGTTGGCCGAGTGGTCCCAAGTGCGACTGCCGGGTAAGGGGTCTCGGGTTCGATTCCAAGTCGGGCGAAGCACTACTGGGTTTTTAAAAAATTCTCAGTGGTAGCACGAAGTCTGGAATCGTGGCCGGTATATGGCAATACGCTCACCCTCTACTACATGGGACTAATAACATAAATAGTGAAAAGTGGTTAAATTGTTCAGAGGCATAATGTACACCTCTGCCTACCCCTTCGAGGACAAAAGGCGTGATGTTATGTTATAAAAAACACCAAGGAAAATTTAGAAGTTAGTAGTACAGCGGTCTTATCACTTTAAACGACTTGGAACTTTTTCATACGAAAATACACCCAAACCGGCCCATGTGACATGCCATTCTGGATTCTAACACTTCAGTCTTAGAGTCTAAATTTGATTGATTTATAATATAAACAATCTAATTTCAGCTCTACATACAAGAAAGCCAATACTATTCTCGTAAACTAGAAACAACAGTATCAGCTAAGCCGTTGCCATGGAAACTGGTGACGGCTCGACCGCAGATCGAAGCCGAGAAGTTGGGCAATGGACACACAGCTTTATCCATACAAGATGCGGACCCCAACGCATTGTCTCTGATCACCCTGTATGGGAACGCTGGGAAACATATTGGTGAGTTTCTTATTGAGTCACTTTGAGTTAATTTTATGGTATTGTAGCAATAGGCTCACCCTGCACCTCACGCTCACCTATTACATGGGATTCATAACATAAATAGTGAAAAGTGGGTGTTACATTGTACAGTAGCATTAAGTGCCGTAATGTGCACCAACCCGAATTGAGCAAGCGTGGTGTTTAATGCTCAAATCTTCTCCGTGTGAGAAGAGGGTTTGCTCAGCGGTGGGCATTTATAGGCTGTTGATGACGGATGTCCTTCGTGTCAATGTGTGAGTGTTCTACGTGTAAGTCTATAGTAGCCAGATGCCACAGTGTTTGTTTCACGCGACTGTGTCGGCTTTTTTTTCAACGTCCTTGAATAGAAATACTTTTAGAGGTAAAGTCATTGATGTGCTGTAGAGGTTGGATCTTGTAGGTATCTTTTTGTTACTAATTGTTATGAATGTTTCTTCAAATACAAATATGTAGTAAATATGCGTTATTAGTCCTCATCACAGCTTAAATATCAATAGGTAATACATATGTGAGACATGTTGTGGGTTTGTATAATTTAAAAAAATCAAGGTTTTACTAAAAATCGCGGGTTACTCACGTGAATATACTGAGAAAAGTTCTACTAGTTTCAAACCACAGTCTCGCAGCCTACTGACATCGCCGCGACCGCGCACGCTGCTCGTGAGAAAGAACCCCTCTGTGGTTCGAAACTAGTAGAGCTTTTCTCAGTATATTTACGTGAGTAACCCGCGATTTTTAGTTAATTTAATGTCTCACGAAAGTTATTATAAAAGCAAAAATTTGTCTACCTTTTCATATTAACTCGTCGAGTACCGGTTTTATAGACACAATTAAAGAACAATAGGTCGCGGTCACCGGTGACCGCTTGGTGTTTGACAGTTTAAATACCCTTTTGGTTTCCGAGGTGAATCTATTGCCAATCCAATAATATGTCTAACTCTAGAGAACTCGAATGTAAATTACTTTATTCGGCAGACAAAAACCTTTATCAAATCATTCTTAATAACAGTCATACTATTTATTAATCTCCAGGCGACCACGGCTACTTCGTGTACCTCCAAGAAACGTGTGACCAGTCGGTCCAAGTGTCGGACGATATCTTCGACTCCCCCAATATTAGCGACGACATGTCTGAACATCATGACATACATGTCCATGTATCTTCACTCTGGTACTGGTGGAAGGAAGTGCTGCTTATTGCTGTGTCGTCAGCTCTCTTGATGAATTTAATGATCTGGCCCAGAATGTTTGCGCCTAAATTACCCCCGTCGCCATTGCCGACTAGTAATGAACAGGTTAGTTTTTGTTTTGTTCGTTGGTTGAGAAAATTAGACTTTGTTGTAATAGAAATAAAGTGATTTTTTAAATAATGTTGTTGTGGAATAAAATTATTTAGTGATGTTTAGTTTTGTGAATTGAATTGTGCAATTGAAATTAAATCAATGATTATTTTGTGTTTAATGTTTATTTTGTTTTATATTAGTTTTCTCTAGAACTAAAAATTACAATGGCTCGTTGGCCGAGTAGTCGCAAGTGTGATTGCCGGGCAAGGTCTCTCGGGTTCGATTCCCGGGTCGGGCAAAGTATTATTATTGTTTTTTTTTAATCTCAGTAGTAGCACGGAGTCTGGAATCGTGCCCGGTATATGGCAATAGGATCACCCCCTATTATATGGGACTCATAACATAAGTAGTGAAATGTGGGTATTACATTGTACAATGGCATTCAGTGCCGTAATCTACACCTCTGCTTAGCTATCTAACTAACTAACTACAACTCTTCATATCTATCTGTAACTATTCCTTCCAGGTGGTAGTACAAGTATACAACTGGCCAGAGAAGCCAGGTCCAAGTCGTCCAAGTATTGCAGAATATTCTGGTCGATATGAGAACGATTTCACTTCGGTTCGGTGTTTGGGTCGCGGCGGCTTCGGCGTCGTGTTTGAAGCAAAGAATAACATAGACGATTGCTCTTACGCTGTCAAGAGAATCACGTTGCCTAGGAGGTAAGGGGTACAGGGGAGAGTCACTCCCCTGACATGTCCCCGTTTTTTTCTTCTATGGCATAAGCCGGTAAACGAGCAGACGGATGGTAAGCAATCGCCGTCACCCATGGACACCTGGAGCACCAGAGGCGTTACAAGTGCGTTACCGGCCTTTTGGGGATTAGGAGTTTGAGGATCGTTGGGGATTCAGGGATTGGGGAGATTGGGGAAGGGGAGGGTAATTGGGCCTCCGGTAACCTCACTCACACGATGAAACACACCGCAAGCGTTGCTTCACGTCGGTTTTCTGTGAGGCCGTGGTATCACTCCGGTAGAGCCGGCCCATTCGTGCCGAAGCATGGCTCTCCCACACTTATATATACCATATGACCCCATCCTCCAAAAATAAATTTACATGTCGAATGTAGAGAAGAATTACTTCAAAAAATGTACTAAATAAATAAGCCGTTTTTAATAGTATACGAGCAGTCGGATCACTTAATGGTATGCAATCAGCACCGCCTAAGGTTACCTTAATAGAAGTGGAGTATAAAGGGCATTGCATTGTTTCGGGGATTTAGGAATTCTGAATAACGATTATAGATTTAATAAAGCAACATTTTCCCCCTAGCTGCGATGCATTTTATAGTTTTGCTTTTATCTTACGTGTGTCGAATAAATTTTATCTCTTTTTCTTAACAACTACAGTTCATTTTTGTTTACATCTTTCTTTTTTAGGGAATCGAAACGCGAACGAGTGTTACGTGAAGTGCGAGCTCTAGCGAAGTTAGAACACGAGCACATAGTTCGCTACTTCAACGCCTGGGTCGAGGAACCTCCGCCGCACTGGCAGAGACAGAAAGACGCCGAGTGGATGAAGTAAGTCGTATATTTTATTAATAGCTTCTGTCAGCTACTTTGTCCACGTTCTAATAGGATAAAAGTAGTCCATGTTTTATTCCTGACCATTATAACATAACATAACATAACATCACGCCTTTTATCCCCGAAGGGGTAGGCAGAAGTGCACACAGAAGTAACACCCACTTTTCACTATCTATGTTATGAGCCCCATGTAATAGGGGGTGAGCGGGTGAGCCTATTTCCATATACCTATTTCCACATTTCTAGACTCCGTGCTACTACTAAGTTTTTTTAAAACCCAGTAGGTAATACTTTGTTCGACCCGGGAATCGCAAGGCCGTGTAGTCGCAAGTGCGACTGCTGGGCAAGGGGTTTCGGGTTTGATTCCCGGGTCGAGCAAATTATAACTGGGTTAAAAATTCTGAGTTTTAAGTCAGTAGGCCAGTAATAATTTGCCCGACCCGGGAATCGAACCCGATACCCGTTGCCCGGTCGCACTTGCGACCACACGGCCAACGGGGCAGTCTGTCTGTCCGTATTAATCCTAACAATGAAATACCCAATCTTTCAGAGAACTAGACGGTGTATCAGTAGCGATGACGGACGAGTACACCGCGACGTCGCCCGTCCCGGCCAAACTCACGCGCGGGGACGTCAGCCTCAATCTGAACAAATCTGCTGACTTCACTGAACCTAGCAAGCGACTGAGGTATGGATCACTATATCACTTAGATACACATTACTTACATTTAGGACTCCCAAAGTTATATGTAACCTGATGCATTGAGTCGTGGTGGCTCGAAAGTTAAGATGCCCGTTTCTAATGCGTGAGGGTGCGGGTTCGAAACCTACCAATGTAACGTTTCCGAGTTCTATGTACTTCCTAAGATTATTCAGACACCACTGACAAACAGTGAAGAAAACATTGTGAGGAATTGGGCTTATAACTTCTAATTATGAGTTTGAAATCGCCAACCCGCATTGAGCAACTGGTGATTAATGCTCAAACCTTCTCTGTGTGAGAAGAGGCTTTGTTCAGCAGTGCTATATCTAACCCAAGCATTAAACCAGACACCCCTTGCCCGGACAGTCGCACATGCAACCACTCGGTCAACGAGGCAATCAAACAAATATACATTTCACAATTACAATATAAAGTATGATTTCAAAAAAAGTATTGAACTTTCTTCATTTTGCAGGTCGTTAAGTTGCAACGATTCGTTCAGCATAGTTTTCGATGCGAACGCTCCCTCTCGGGCCGAGGTAACAAATTCAGTTCACTCCGTGAAGCCCTCCCATGTCACGAGTGATGACGACTCGTTTATAGTCTTCGCTAACTCACAAGAGGGCGCGGAGGGGACGGAGGGCGGGGAGGGAACTGGAGAACATAACTCTTCCTATGACCGGAGGCTTGAGAGGGTCAAGGAGTGTGATTATAAGACTGAGAGCTCTTCTACGGGAAAGAAGAAGGTTAGTGAAAAGTTTTTTTTTTATTTGCCAAAAAGTTACTTGCCTCTTTTACTCTTAAGCCCTTGAAGCCCTTTTCACAATATCTGATTACCTTTGTGTTAGTGTAATAGGTGATTACTTAACGTACTTTCTATAGAAAATCTGGCTAAATATGTGTCGGGGTGTCGAGCTGCTCGACACCCCGACACATATTTAGCCATATTTAGTCGAGCAATATGGTAAGCGAAACGGACCTGCCGTTTCCACAGGATTTTTGTTGTAATTTAATTTTACATGTCATAAAGCGACTCCCTCGTTGGCCGAGTGGCTGCAATTGCGACTGCCGGGCAAGGTGTCTCGGGTTCGACGCCCCGGGTAAAATAATACTGAATTTAAAAAAAAATCTCAGTAGTAGCACGGAGTCTGGAAATGTTCCCGGTATATGGCAATAGGCTCACCCCCTATTACATGGGACTCATAATATAAATAGTGAAAAGTGGGTTGTACAATGGTACAATGTGCACCTCTGCCTCTTCGAGGATGAAAGGCGTGATGTTATGTTTTGTAAATCTGTGTTATTTTTTTTATTGGTGCACTAACAATTGTACACACTGGTTCTAATTTTAGGTTACATGCAATAGATACATAACTTAGTGCTACAATCACTTATTTACATTTCATTGTTTAGCTTTATAAAGAAAAATTACAATATATAACCTAACCGTTCTTTATTCTAAACTGTCTTTCTCGAAATGAATTTTATTGAAACCATAACTTATCCGTCCATAGAAGGGCCACACGCGGCACTGGTCCCTGGACATGGTAGTGCGCGGGGCGGGAACAGAACCCCCCGTGGAGCCGGGCGGCGCGCAGATGTACCTGTACATACAGATGCAGCTGTGTCGCCGGGACAGTCTGCACGACTGGCTGCGGGACAACCGGCGCTGCGACGCCAGGGCAGAGAAGGTAACCAACGGGGATTTTTATCCGTTGAAGTGGGTGTTACAGTGTACAGTGACATTAAGTACCATAATCTGCACCTCTGCCTACCCTTTCGGGGATAGAAGGCGTGATGGTATGATATTTTATGTTATACCTATGCATACATGCACGGTAAACTCACTTGAAGAAAAAGAAAAAAAATCATTTTCCTATATTAGTAATTTTATCCCCAAAAATATATCTTTTTTCATACTTGATATGTTGAATCTACAATATCTACAATCTTAACATCCTTCCCTTCCAGGTAAAAGTGCTATTCAGTCAAATAGTATCAGCGGTGGAATACGTCCACCTGGCTGGGCTGATCCACCGCGACCTGAAGCCCAGCAACATTCTGTTCGCGCCCGACGGACGCGTCAAGGTCGGGGACTTCGGCCTCGTCACCGCCATGGCAGACACTTCGCAAGATGGCGACACCGCGCCCGTCATGGATGTACATCAACGACATACTTATAGAGTCGGTGAGTACTGTGTGTTTATACCGACTTCAAAAAACCAGGAAATTCTCAGTATGACCTGTATGTATATCTGTGCGCAATTATCTCGCAATTGGCTGGACCGATGTAGATGCAGTTTCCAGAAAAGTGTTTGTTACACTTAGGAAAAGGTTTTTAGTATATCAATTAATGCTAATTTTTTTTTATGGCATAAGCCGGTAAACGAACAGACGTATCACCTGATGGTAAGCAATCGGCGTCGCCCATGGACACCTGGAACACCAGAGGCGTTACAAATGCGGTACCGGCCTTTTGGGGATTAGGAGTTTGAGGATCGTTGAGTATTCAGGAATTGGGGAGATTGATGACGGGGAGGGTAATTGGGCCTCCGGCAACCTCACTAACACGACGAAACACAACGCAAGCGTGGCTGCACGTCGGTTTTCTGTGAGGCCGTGGTATCACTCCGGTCGAGCCGGCCCATTCGTGCTGAAGCATGGCTCTCCCACACTTGAAATATAAATAAAATGCTAAGTATGCTATGTACGAATTTTGAATATTAGTTTAGACTGCAAATCCTACATCCGGAAGTGTGTGAGGATTTATAGTGTGTTGGCTGGCAACGTGTATTGAGTTGAATTCCTGCACGGAGCAACTCTTTGTGTAATGCATTAGTCAGTTCCGGGTGTCATGTGTATGTGAAATTGTTTCTTTGTTGTAAACGAACCCACGACACAGGAGAAAATCAATCAAAAAAATTACAGTCGAATTGAGAACCTCTTCTCTTTTTTGAAGTTGAAAAAGCTACATTTACTGACGATTTAGATGAAACATTTAAATCTGTTGGCTTATAATAATTCTGATATTTTTGGTATCTATAATTAAAACTGCCTCGTTGGCCGAGTGGTCGCAATTGCTACTGCCGGGCAAGGGGTCTCGGGTTCGATTCCCGGGTCGGGCAAAGTATTACTGGGTTTTTTAAAAATTCTCAGTAGTAGCACGGAGTCTGGAATTGTGGATATATGGCAATAGGCTCACCCTCTATTACATGGGACTCATAACATAAATAGTGAAAAGTGGGTGTTACATTGTACAGTGGCATAATGTGCACCTCTGCCTACCCCTTCGGGGATAAAAGGCGTGATGTTATGTTATGTTATAATTAAAACTCCCATTAATCCGACAGGTACCCACCTGTACATGTCCCCGGAACAGCTAGAGAGTCGTCCGTACAGTTACAAGGTGGACATATACTCGTTGGGGCTCATACTGTTTGAGTTGCTTCATCCATTCTCCACGGAGTCGGAGCGCGTCGCCTGTCTGCTGCAACTGAGGCAGCACAAGTACCCGCCTGACTTCATTGCTGATTATCCTGAGGAGGTGAGTTGAACATTTGTGGTAAATTTAAGACCTCTTTCTTGTCTCTTTTTTGACGTTTTCTATTTGAAAAAGAGAAGGAAACAAAAATAATTTATTTGTCATTTGGCATGATCCACCATTTACGCAGTAGTAAAATAACAATGAAAACAATATTGAAAAACAATAAGGCCTGAAACTGCGTTAATCGGGCACCCGCGCGGTTTCATACAAAAATAGGTGTCCGTCACGGGGAGGCGCGCCCCGCACCCACGGGGCCCGCCTCTGTGCCACGGAACCCGGCGCAGGCACGCGCGGGCCCCGCTGGCGGGAACACGCACGGGCTTGTTCAGTTAATAACGCTAGGTGATACGGGTCGCACGCACGTTCTGAGAAAATCAAGGACAATGTCTTTCGATACAGAGAGGGTATTTGTGGAAGTGCAATGTCACCCTTTAAAATATTTATAAAATGAGTTACCATTTTCTCTTAATTTACTGAATTTTACAACAAATTCCCCGCACAACAACCTAGATTCAATAAACGGGCTTACTGGCTGTCGTTTTTTTTTCTAGTCGTTGTTTTGCTACGTAATAATATATTAAGCTGTCCATCGACACGACTATACAACCTCACCGTTAAAATTGAATTAGTGACACTGCGTAAATATCGGTCACCGCGACGAGGACGGTCGCGTAGCCACGGAACCCACCCGCGTGTCCACGCGCGTCGACACGCTACGGTTGCCCGTCGCGGGCGTCCGCTTAACACAGTTTCAGGCTTAATAACAATAAAAAAGAACCGTAAAACACAATAAAAGCAAAAAAGATAAAAAAAATAATAAAAAGAGTAACAAGATGGCAACATTCCCATGACAAAAGTGCTTGCCAACTCAGTATGAGCTGGGCACTATTTCTATTCTTTCTCGTGCTTGTTACGGCTTTTTTTGGCAATTTCTGTTCTTTTCAAAGACGGAAAGGTGGAATGTTCTTTTAAAACGAGTGAGTGGGAGAGAGAAAGAGAGAGAGCGAATGTGAGAAAGGAAGAGAAATAGAAAAACAACCTTAATCAATTACGTGCTAATTATAATTTTAGCATGCCGATAGATTCTTTCACTTCATCAACACTCATCAATTATTTAATCATTAATTACTTACATTAAATCCAAAAACATTGTTCAACAGACGGAGGTCCTAAAAATGATGCTAAGTGACGACCCATCTAAGAGGCCCACAGCGACCGGAGTTAGGGCACACGCGCCCTTGTACCAGCAAACTAACCCGGACTATCATTTCGTATTACCGGCCATGGCCGCTGCGTAATATCTCATACCTAAGATAATGTTTTTTTTTTGTTTTTTCAAAGTAGTAAGTTGAGATGCACATTGTTTACTGTAAAGAGTTCTACAAAAGAATTATTATTATTATTATTTTCAGCCATGATCGGTCCCACTGCAGGGCAAAGGCCTATAAGAGAAATCAAATGCTTTTTAATGTGTTAAATGTAAAAGACATCCATTTTCAAGAATTATCAGATTATTCTTTGTATTAAAAAAAATAAGATATTTTTTTTTAACGCCACTCATTAGCAGTTAAATGTTATTGTTGAGTTTTGGGACACCTGTATATAACTAACAAAAACTGGATGTTGTGTTAAATATGTGCATCTTCCTTTAGGGAAAAGTCCCTTAACGCCCGACGGCACCTAATGCCGGACACTTGTATTATCTCGACAACTGATAACACGAGCGCATCAATTTTTACTAAAAATCTTAGGTGTCTGCCACTGGGAGACTTCCTCCCAAAATAGAATTGCTCACGTTATTAGTTATAGAGCTAATACAAATGTCCGGCGTTAGGTGCCGTCCGGCGTCAAGGGACTTGCCCCTACCCCTAATAAAAAAAGTTATGTTTAATTAGTGCCTATGAAACTGCCGTTACCGCCTTATAATTGCCGTTACAAACGGCACTTTCATAGGTAAACGGCATTTTTGGGAGTACAGATTATCACATTATAAACTAAGAAATAATTTTACCATGAGAGGTAAGCAATCTTGAGGCTTGGAGACGTAGTTATAAGAGCTATTTTACTTTGAAACAGTCCTGAACAGTAATGCATTATTAACAATAAATAAAACATAATTAAATGCTTGACAATATTTTCTGTCTAACCTAACCAGTTTGCGACCTTATAACCGTAATTATAAGGCTGAAAATACTTAGAAGTACCTACATTAAACTCTAGATACAATGAAGTATTGCTACTGCTAGATAAAATGTGTCAATAAAATAGCTACTACCTTAATAGAAATACAGTTTAAATTACAATAACAAAATTTTAACCTAATAATCATAATACCAGTGGAAGCCCATATATAAAAACGGTCCCATTAATTTATTCTTGTTTAAGTTTAATTTATTTTCTCTTACAATAAGCACTTTTTACGTATTTCTAAAGCATTTACTGCTATACTATGCAGCTACTGTCATTTTCCATTCAACAAAAAATTCTAACAAGTACATAGAAATTGTACTATCGACAAAATGTATCATGACACGATTTGACCATAAATCGTTTAATATCATCGAACTAACATTTAACCGCTTAAATGCCTGTATATGAGACAATAGACAATACAGTGTGTCTCGCGTAGATCCGTCCGTTTAGATACACGACGGGTTAAATTCAAGATGTTACAAAGAAAATGTTAGCTTAAAGTTAAAATTTGTCGATTGTACTATGCCTTCATATAATAAAAAAAACAACAAACTACCCTTTTTCAATAGATTTTAACCATTATTACAATATAATAAAGTTTAAAATCAATCTATTTAATGTTTTGTAAACTCTAGAGCTAATTTAAAGTTTCTTTTGCACTGAAATTAATCATTTTCAACGAGATTTATTTATACTGTAATGTTCCTATCTAACCGTAGTTTTTACCGTCCACCGGCAGTTTTAACTATTTGTCAATAATCGTGTAATAACTCCTAGTTATTGCCTAAATAAATTAAGTAGAACAGTATTCTTATTGAAAATGATTGATTATTATAAGCATTAAGTAGTTATAAACAAGTATAATAGGGTAGTTGCCAGGTAAGAAAATAAAATGTAATTAGTCCGTCAGATAGATAATGAAAGAATATTAGACACGTATTTTATAGCTACTAATTATTAAAATATTCGAAAGAAAAAGGTCTGGCTGGGGTAACGTTACTCCAGCAGGAAATGATTTTGTGAAATAATTAAAAAACTATAAGCGCAACAAATTAAAAAATGTGCGCAGCAGTTACAGAAGCCGCAAAACTAATTATCTATAAGATTCAAATGACCATTTTCGATAACATCTGGCCTGGGTAACGCACACATTCCCGGGTTGAGCAAAGTATTACTGGGTCTTAAAAAAAATATCAGTAGTAGTACGGAGTCTGGAAATGTGCCCGGTATATGGCAATAGGTTCACCCCCTATTACATGGGGCTCATAACATAAATAGTGAAAAGTAGGTGTTACATTATACAGTGGTATTCAAGTGCCGAAAGTATTTACTTGTGTGAGAAAAGAAAAAATAAGACATTTTTTTTCAATTAATCTACCAGACGGTCATTGGTTCGTTGATATGTCGTGCCAAAAATCCCCAGTATCGTGAGACATACTAAATTAACTATAAATCGCGGGTTACTCACGTGAATAAACTGAGAAAAACTCTACTTGTTTCGAACTATAGAGGGATTCCTCCTCATGAGCAGCGTGCGTGGTCGCGGCGATGTCGCGCAGCCTACACAGCGGCGTAGAAGTTTTCTAAGTATATTCACGTGAGTAACCCGCGATTTTTAGGTAATTTAACATACAAAAGTAGTCTTTATACATCGGAAATATGGTCTATAATGGAGTTAGGTGAGAGCTGTCACCGGTGACCGCTTGGGGATTGAACAGTAATAAAATTTAGGAAACTACCCTATTCACAGTGAGTCAAATTATTTAATATACTGGTAATAAAATAATTTGTCTAACTGTTCCATAAATAATTATATTGTATTACTTAATGAACGTAAGACTGGAGATGGGTATTGTCGGAATGTTATCATTATTATATTTTTAATAATTATTATTAAATATTAATAATTAAATATCTACTGTCTTAGAGATATATTTATGAATAGTGTCAAGAGATCATTTTGACTACGATGGTCAAGTAGTTTGTAAATGCAACTCCCGAGTGGATTTCGGGGTCGACTCCCAGATAGGGAAAAGTATATTATTGAGCTTTTCGATTATTGAAATTCTCAGTAATTATCTTGTATAATAGTCTCTCTTGTTACATGGGACTCGTTACGTAGCTGGCGATGTGGGTGTCACATACCCTTCGGAGGAAATTATAATGTTAAGTTTATAAGGAAAGTTTACCAAAATGTGTGCATAGTAATTTACCTAAGAGGGAACTGTGTTGATCTTTGAAGTTTTAACTTTTATATAAAAACTGAAATACTAAAAAATAAACAAATCTGCACCTTACAAAGGCCTTTAGTGCATTTTAGTAATAATGCATTTTGATCTTTATAACATAAAGGTTTAAAGTGTATAATTGCTAAAAGGTATCATGACCCTTATGATTAAGGTAAGGGCGTAAAAGCTACATTGCAATTTGACTTTAGGGCACTAAGGTGCAGTAATAGTAGACTATGGAATTTACAATCACAGAAGTTAATAATTGTATTAGAATACTCTGTACCTCTAGTTAGAGATTGTTGTTAAAACATGCTTTTTAAGAAGAAGGTTAAGTATAATGCTGATATTTGTAAGGAATATTGTTAGGTATTGTTACTGTATTGCGTTTGTGATCCGATCACATTCCTATTGTAATTGTAATATATTAGTTTTAAGGCTAAATAAATGAATGATCATGTGACTCTTTGTTTCATTTCATGGTCTAATCTAAGTGACAATTCATTTTTGCCAAATACAAAAGTGGCCAAAGAGAAGAATGAACATATTGAAACGACGACCACTGATTCATAAGGCTTAGTTAATTTCACGTTAATAATTATTATGGTTCCGGCTTACTCACGTAACTGTTTAACGAGGAACTCGACTAGTTTCAAGCTATGCTAGAAGCTCATATTACTAACTAGTTTAGTTCCCGGTCAAACAGTTACGTGTGTAAGCCGGAAACATAATAACGGGAAAATTTCCCAATATCGATTCACCCCCCTTCTGTCTCTATTCACCTCTCGATCCCTATCCACCCCATTTTACGGTAATTAATGATCGACACACTTATGCCGTTAGACGCTCTGATTTGTCTGAAACTGGCCACCAATGAACCAATCAATCACGGGCTAAATAGGGTAACGTTTTGGTGTCCGTTACCCAGGCCAGATGTGGTCGAAAATAATCATTTGAATCTTATAGATAAGCCTAAGCCAGACAGTTTTCTTTCTAATGGGAATATTTAAATAATTACTAGCTATAAAATTAGTTGTCTAGATGAAGTGAATGTTATGCCTTATTTTGTATTTGTTCTTTCATCGGTTGCGAAGTTATTCGAGATTTTGCTGGGGTAACGTTTTTGGTTTTGCTAAGTCTTTGAAATTGTTAAGCAGATTCTTATCATATTTTGTACATGGCTTCTTAGGAATTATTTTGAATTTGTTCTGCAATATAAAAATCAACATAATACATAGCTTTTAAAGGTTATTTCATTAATTAAAAAACACTTCAATTGGTCCCAGCACTCTCAATAAGAGCTCTAAAGACTCTAGCAAAAACAAAAACGTTACCCCAGCAAAATCTCGAATAACTTCGCAACGGATGAAAGAACAAATACAAAATAAAGCACAATATTTACTTCATCTAGACAACTAATTTTATAGCTAATAAATATTTCAATATTTCCATTAGAAAGAAAAAGGTCTGACTGGGGTAACGTTACCCCAGCAGATGCTTTTTTGAAACAATAAAAAAACTATAAGCGCAACAACTTTAAAAATGTGCGCTACAATTACAGAAGCCGCAAAACTAATTATCTTTAAGTTTGAAATGACCATTTTCGACAACATCTGGTCTGAGTAACGCACACGTCTAATGGTATTTTTAAAAGGTTTTATTTATTCTTTTTTATATTCTCTGTGGTCGACTTACACGTGCATATCCTCAACCGATTCCAACTAGGGCATGCAAAACCGGAAAGTCATCAAAACCGGTTTTGAACATCGTTTTTTTGGTACCAAAACCGAAAACCGGAGCTAGGTCCGGTTTTATCAAAAAAATCCAGTGTAGTTAATTTAAAAAAAAAAACGTTTTTTTAAATACCCACTGAGTCTACAAATAAAACAAATTGTGTGATTCACTTCT